GGACGAGAAGCACGGCTGGAGAATACGAAAAAAACTTGCGTTAGAAAAAGTAAAACGAACAGAGAGGGCGCTGTCGGTGGTAGTTAAAGGTCCTCTTAATGTTCGTCTGCGTCGCGTCCTCCAGGATTGCGCGAAGAAGACATTAAACGAGAGTTTCGAGCGCACATAAAATTTTTAAACGTGTTAGAAACTACACTTTTAGTCTGAACAACACATCCTCGTTAAAATTAACTAGTAATTGTACATGGAATATTCAAGAAACGATAATATATTAAGTATCAAGTGGATGAAGGGGAGTTTTTTCCACTAGAATTATTAAAAGCGAGTGTTTTATCAATTGAGTGTTTAATATTGTTTAGCCATGTTATGCTTACGTTATTTTTTCTACTTGCGCTGCACTGAAGGCTAATGCGCATGCGCTAGCTCCACCCCGTGACTAAAGTATTTTAGTCACGGTTTTGGCACTTCGTGTATAAATTACCACTTTTTGTACCTCAAAACCGTGGAAAAACTCGCTTTAAAGTTGGAAGAAATAAAATTTGTTTAAATTGTCTAGATGGATACCACCCAATTGGCGTGAAATGTCTCAAAGCAGGTCGTGAACGCGGCGAAACTCGAAACGACAAAAAACACAGTAGATTATTCAATCGGAAAATAAATAAACGCTCGAGCGATCCAAGCAAGTGTTCTTCCTGCGCGCGCGCGTTAAAAAGAGCCCTGTGTTCCTTCTGTTCTCTTCGCGGTCGGCTGGCGCATGAAACTACAAAACACTCCGCTGTGTGCGGCGAAGAAAAGAAAGTCTTTGCTGCCGTCGCCTCCAGTTAAAAGCCAAACTTTGGAATAAAAGCGCGCGCGCCGTCGCCGTCACCGCCAAAGAAACAAGCCCAAAAAAAAACTCAAGGAAGCAGTCCTGGTGCTGCGCACCAGAGAAAAAGAAAAGGAAACGAGAGCAAACGGAAAACTTTTGTCGAGCGAAAGAAAATCAAAAAGATTTCGCACGGAGATATTAAATAACGAGCCACGTAGCACGGGTTGAAGAGAGTAGAAAACTGCGCAACCTGAAGTGGACGACGCGCTGAATTCCGCCTAGACGATAGATATGCGCACTAGGCAGCATTCGTATAAAATGGGTAGAAATAGTCGAAAACAAAAAATACACTCGAGGAACGGAAAATCGCAAGACGTTTCAAATTTATTATCGAAACTAAAAGGAAATTAAAGTCGCGCGGCGGCATGTTTTATGGAACAAGAGTGGAAAATGACGCAGCGCGTGCTCCATTCGGAACAAGTCAGTTGCGAAAGCAAAAAAAAAGAACTTGCAAAAAATCTGGTTCAAACGTTTGCAAATGAGATTTTTATTGCGCAAACGACTAATCATACTATGGAAGACGCAGATTGGATTTATACGTACACAGGAAGGTCCTTTTTTGCTTTTAATGCCGTCACAAACGATTTTTAAACCAGTTTCAACATATCCTATAGAATTTAGTAATTAATGTGGTTACAATTTGTTCATAAATTAATTTCAAGAAATAAAAAACCCGAGAACTTCTCATACGACTTAGTAAACTTGAAATTTCGCGTCACGTTCGCGTTCCGAGAGTTCTTGATTAACAATTTCATGTTTGGAACGCGCAATTGCGTCGTTTGATGTGATTGAAAGTCGTCGGACGGTCGAATCAGTTCAATTCAGTTCCGAGTTAATATTTCACTACTGTCGATATTCCTGGATAGAACTAGGAACGCCGTCAAAAGCCGCACACACCGTCGTGTGTAACAAGCGCCTATTTATGCAAACTATCCGCTTTATGAATAATTATTCGTTATTATTCATCACGCGACCGCCGCGAGCGTGTTACACATGCATACATTTGTAGACGCGCGTCGTCGTCGTCGACGTGTGATTAGACCAATATGCCGGTAGTGTACACACTCGGGCGTAATTAATGTCGGTATTATTGTTAGACGCTAGTGCAAATTTCGGCGATTGTCCATCGACCGGATTCAATGACGTCAAATATCGTAATTAATTCTGTGACCGCAAAAACAAATATTGTATTATGTATCGAGGGGGTAAACAGGAGTTTTAGTCACAGCATTAATTAATAGCGAGTGTTTTATAAGGTTTAGTCACGTGTTGCTTTTTTTCTACTTCCACTCAATTTCCACGTTGAGATTTTTGTATTTGAAATTTTGTATTTCAAAATGCGCAGGCGCAAGCTCCACCCCGTGACTAAAACCCGTGACTAAAGTACTTTATTCACGACCTTGGCCGTCCGTGTATAAAATATCATTTTTTGTGTCTTAAAATCGTGAAAACTGGCTTTTTAAACGTGGAAGTAGAAAAATGTAATTTTTAAAATGAGCAAAAAATAAAGTAGAGTAATTTTAATCTCTGGTTTTGGCACTGGCGGTCGCCAGTTTTGATTATTTCTATTTCGTTCTCTGCCACGCTGTTCCACCCAGCTGATAATCTAATTTTTCCGTCGTGCGCGCGCGCGTCGCGAAGAAATTGGATTCAAGTTTATTTTTCGTTTTGCACAATTATTGCAACTTTTAGTTCCCAATTGCAAAACGAATTAAATCCAAGAAATAAAATCCCGACTTTATTTTTGCACTTGTCACAAAATTAACCTTAATTTCCCTCCATGTAACACCGCATGTTCGATACTTGTACGTCTACTCCAACACAGGCAAAATGTGATGTTATGATTTTAATTGAAATAACAACGTTAATCGATTTTTAATGCCGGGATAGTAATACACCGCCTCCGCGCGCACGTACACAGTATGAATTTCTGAGCGTATCGAATATGTCTATACCAACGACAGGAAGCTTTGAGCTTATGCGGGCATTACGCGGGGCTTTAATGTTTAATAAATGTTTACCTAAATTGTGTACGTTCCGCGAGCGGCGGCTTCATCAACGTGCACGCAGAGGCGCGCCGACGATGCGATGCCTCCACCTCCACGACGAGATGAGCTTGCCGCCCCCGGACGGGGTGATGTGGTTGTGAGCAAGCGCACACGCATCGGAAACTATTACACAATGTGCACACGCCAGAAATGAGACGAGAGTAAGCAACAAGGTATAGCCACCCACCCCAACAACCAAACGGTAAAGGAGGCGGCTGTGGAAGTAGTAGTGGAAGCCGCATCGACTGCGGGCTTAATTCCTAGTGTAAATGCAAATGCAAACCGGGTTCAAAGCTTTCCGGGGGAGCGTAGACATCACGCCACCGGCAATCATTCAAGCACAATAAATTTAATTACTTTTTTACGGCTCGCAATTAGACACTTTGGGTTAATTAAGCGCACTCAAAAGACGATAAATAGAAAAGCAAAAGTTTTTGTGTGTTACGCATCCATTTAAATACACACACACGTGTGGCCGAGGGTTTTTGAGGGTTTCAAAGTTGAAAGTCAATGTTTACCGTCAACCGGACCGCAAAAGCTCACAAGGTACGAGCATGAGCGGCGAGTAGTCTCAAAGCTATGAATGCAAACATAATCAAGTCAAAAGGACTCATGCGCGACCCTGGTCAACCCTTTAATCCGGACTCATCCAACCAAAATATCACTATTAATGATTTATGCAAAGCGCCATATTTTTCAAATCGTGAAAAACATCATAAAATTGATTAAATTTCAATTTATTGCTTTGAAAAGACTGATTGCTAAGAGGGAAAAAAATTAGTATCGACGTGATGCGCGCTGAAGTGAAATTATAGAAGGAGTTGTGGATGAGGAGCGAGATGAGAGAAATTCGCACAAAGTGGATCAAACGTTTGCGTCCCGAAAATTGCGCCTCATCCACCTCGATTTGTCTGTTGATTTAATTGATTTGCCGATTCAGCTTTTATCTACTCGACCAGCTCCAAACACTCACATTCATACATTCTATACCGAGTCTCCAGAGTCTAGCATTTTATTTATCAAACGTGAGACTTGCAGACACAAAAAATTCCATCAGCCACTCTTCGAGCGTATAAAAATACGCTTTTAGCGAGAAATAATATTTATATAAAACAGAAATAATTGAAGTTTAATGACGAATTTTTATATTCTTTTATTTTTAAAGGTCGAAGGTGACGCGCAACTTAAATTGACGATTTTTATTAATTTTTTTCCACAATTTCCTCTTAATGTCCTCGAATTGCTTTCAAACGACATTTTAGCCAGAAATATTATTTATATAAAACAAAATAATATAAATTTAAGAATGAATTTCTATTTTATTATATTTTTAAAGCCCCGAAGTGACGCGCAACTTAAATTGACGATTTTTATTAATTTTTTCAACAAATTTTCTCTTAATTGTCTCCGAATTGCTTTCAAATAACATTTTAGCAAGAAATAATATTTATATAAAACAAATAATTGGAATTTAATGACGAATTTTATTTTCTTATATTTTAAAGCTCGAAGGTGACGCGCAACTTAATTCCTTTAAGTTTTTATCCACATTTTTCTCTTAATGTCTCCGTGACGCTTTCCAGGCATCATTAAAAAGCTGAAATCGTTATTGAACTGAAATCGAGGGGTAAAATCCCAAGTAATTTGGAAGTCTGCCGCTAGCGGCAAAGAAAATGAGCGTCTGGTTGTTTTTTCGGCGACACCGCTGATAAATGGACTCGAAATTGAAGATGGAAATCACACACCATCGAAAAGAAAGTGTCTTCAATCTTAAATGTTTTAGTCCGAGCGCGCCGTAACTAAATACCCAGCTTCGTTATTGATTAATGCGGCGTCGCTAGATCGCATTATGCATGCATAAAGTTTGCCGAGATGAGATAATTCGCGGCGCGGTGGAATTTTTTCCCTCCTGCTTAAATTCAGTGTGCTTTTGACAAAATTAATGGAGGAGAGATGTCGTTTTCATATTCATTGGAACCGCCAGCGCCAATGAATTTCAGCGATAAGAAAAGACATCAATGTTTGATCAAAACGTTTGCAGTAATTAAAAATGAAAAAATTTATTTAAATTGAATTTTACTTACATTTACATTTACATCACAAGCTCCTTGCTGCTCCCTGGGTGCCATTTTCTGAAACAAAAGAATAATTAACTAAAGTGTCAATTTAGAGGGTGGTTGAAGGGTGGTTGAGGGTGGTTTCGGGGTTGTGGGTTCAAATAATAGTGCAGTCCGATAATTTTCGACGAAAGAGCGACCCTACCAGCCGGGCCATTTGTGCGTTAACTGTGTACTTTCCGCCAGCGGCGGCAGCGCCACCCCTTTTCCCGTTCGGTATTCTCTTAGCGAAATCGTTTAGCCTCCGGGACGAGCAGAGAGTGGCGAGCGTTGTCCAGCGCGCCGATATTTTAGGTAATTTGTTAGAATTAAATAGGACGTGCGCCCGCGTGCCGCCTCCGACGGCGTAATTTCTTTCTGTCTAACCGGCCGCACCGTACGTGAACCAGAACATGGTAAAACACATTCGTCGAGACTAGAATAACATAGATCTACCCCGAAATTCCGCACTCGAATTGAAATTGAAATGTACCACCGCCGCCGCCTCCAGGACGAAAATAGTCCTCTTGTCCTGTTTTGATTGTCATCTCATGTTTACCTAATTGCGATTTATGATGAGCACGTTTCGAATTTGACTTGAATAATTCAAGCGCGGTTAATTTGCGCATTTGTGCCGAGATCTCGCTGTACTTTACAAATTGTGAAACTAATCAACAAATCATACGCAGCGACCGCATACACGCCGGAGCGTCGTGGTGGAGGCGACATCTAGCGACAAGTCACACGCACCGCTGCGCCATTAATCAGCGCGCGTTTATGCCGCGCGTCCGAAACTAATTATTCCCCGGCCGCTTCTGCCGAAATTTACCTAGCCGCACCGCGCGGGTTTATTAATGAGTTATCATAGTTTTCCGGTTGTAATTAGCTGCGGGCGTAATGTATACACACACGTACATTGTAGGCAATCAGAATTAATTAAGTACTCATCATTATCGATATTGGCATAGATATTGCTATTTAAATATTAATAAATAAATATGTATATGGTAATTATACTGTATTATATTGCAAAATATTATTTTATACAATACTAGACTTTATTTTTACTGTTTTTTGGTGAAAATTTATGAAAAATTGATTTTTTGAGAAAAAAAATAAGAAAATTGTTTTTTCTATTTAATTGGTAAATAAAACAAGTGTTTGGAATTGAAATTAGTTCCAAATGTTAGTTATATATAGTAGATAATCAATACTATGCTTTATACATGGTTATTAACTACGATTTTATTTTATTTTTTACATTTTTTAGGCGAAGAATTATGAAAAATTGATTTTTTGGGTAAAAAATTAGGAAAAATTGTTATTTCTATTTTTATTGGTAGAAAAACAAGTGTTTTGTATGCCAATTATTTCCTAATAGTAATTTTCTAATTGAATAATCAATACTATACGTTATACACGGTGATTAAATATGATTTTATCTTATTTTTTACAGTTTTGAGCGAAAAATTATGAAAAAGTTGATTTTTTTAAAGAAAAATTAAAGAAAAATTGTTTTTTCTATTTTCATTGGTAGAATAACAAGTGTTTTGTATGGAAATTATTTCCAAATATTAATTTTCTAAGTGAATAATCAATACTATACTTTATACACGGTGATTAAATATTATTTTATTTTATTTTTGCAATTTTCAAGCGAAAAATATGAAAAAATTGATTTTTTTGAAGGAAAAATTTAATCAAAAATGTATTTATATGTTACTTTGAAGGAAAACAAGTGTTTTCTATGGAAATTATTTCCAAATGTTAATTTTCTAAGTGGATAATCAATAAATAAACACAAATCCCGTTAAATCATACAGAAAATATTAATAAGTTTTATTGGATCGCTATAAACTCGTTGAATTACGACGCTCGGAAGATAAATGAAGCGAGCGGAGCACCCGGATGGACGCGCGCAATTTCATCGTAAACATTAATGAACTTCAATAAATTGGAAAACGCACCCGAATGTAACCGAAACAATCCGTGCTCAACTCTCGCGCCGGAGGTGGCCGCAAAACGGCCGAAGCACAACGCCCCAGCGTGCTGGCAGTAGAGAACACAACGAATACAACTTGACGTGTTAACGCATGCACATCCAACCGCCCCCGCCCGCCTCCGCCTCAGCGAAAATGTAATTACTTTATACAATCAATCAAACTTTACAATTAAGTATTATGTCCGTGAGTGCTCGCGCGAGCGTACCAATGAAATGAAAAACTAATAAACTCGGAATTCACCATTCGCTGTGGGGGCGGCTGTGTTTTCACATACACACACAGCGCACAGCGAGAGAATGAAAATTTTAATTTCGAATTACATATTTATACCTGCATATTTTACGCATTTTGCATTTCAATTTCGGGAAGAGAGGCGAAACGGCACAGAGAGACGGCAAAAATTTCATTCTCATGAGCACTTTCCATGCGAATGGCAGGCCGCTTTCATTACACAGTCCGTCCGGGAGAGGCTCAAACGCCAAAATGACAGAACGAAATTAAACTGTGTCCACAGCCGAAGAATGTTGCAGTCAAAACGTCCCTCAAGCTATGAGCAACTCCGCTTTGATAATAATTTACAATTAGAGAAACTAACGCTTTGTTGCAACAACAACACAGCGAAATACAAATTTTCTTTCCGGAAGTCATGCGCACTGGGTAATGGAACAAACGCCTCCACATTTCATTCCTCCCAAGAATAATACCGTTCGCACAGGGGACATATTTTCACTTTGAAGCATCGGTGTTTAAGAAATGCGTTGTTCTTCTTTTTGCCGGAGGCGCAATTTAACCTTCCGCAATGTTACGTTGACTGTTCCATTACGGAAGACAAATTGCTCGCGAAAGACGACTCCGAGCCCGGGCCACAACCCACCACCCTCGTACGCCAAAGCCCCGCCCGTGGGATATCGCTATCTATCGAGGAGGAAGGAAGTAAATGTCCAGTTTGTGTCTTGCCGTGTCCTGTTTAATTCAAATTAATTGCCAGCGTTTCAGCGGAAACAAATTTGTTAGGTTAGGTTTTAACTTTTAACACAAAACGTATTTTTTACGTTTTTCGCTGAAAATGACGTCTATAATGTTAAAAATTAGCATTACAGGCTGGTTTTATGTTAATTTCTGGTCTCTAACCTTTCCTTTAGCTAATAAACGTTTATTTCGACCTTAATTCGTGCCAGCACCAATTTTTGCAAAAAAACAATACAAATGAACAAATTAAATCGACTCCCGCATGCAAATTACACTCATTCGCCCCCGATATGCGCCGATATAGCTCCATAAGCTGTCGTAAATATTCCGCCCGGCGAAAAAGGACGGAAAAATGTGTAAACGGTGTAGAAAGGTGTTGGAACACATGCGGCGCATTGTTATCGCGACACGACAACCCCAAAACCCGGGAAATTCGATAGTAGGGGACATGATGTAAAATAAAATAGCGAAAAACATCAAATTTTACGTGCGATAGAGATAAACTACAAATATTACGACGTGGGTAGCCTACGCATTAACTACGTACATATTATCAAATAAAAACATTCGATATATTTTCTCGAAAATATTTTTTGGCACGTTAAGTTTCAATGACACCTTATCGCGACACACGAAAAGTTTCAGCCGTAAACATAATACATTCACGCCGGGAAAAACACATTCTAGCGCGAAAAATACGAGAAACAAATGCAAATCACGATACTGATACATCAACGTCACCAAATGTAAGTTGAAAACACATGCGAACAACACGTATGCTCTTCAATGTTGCGCATGATGTTGTTGTTGTTGTTAAAACTAATTTTACGATCGCGACAGTAGTAACCAAACGCGAATTGTGCTGATGTAGGTGTTTGAAACGGTTATCACTAATGTACACCTCCTAGTAACCCTGAATATCTTATCGCTTATTTAATTTCAATGTTTGTTTACATCACGCTCGCCTAATAACGACACTAAAATCGGTTTTTATTTTTTTGATTTGCGGCGCGGATGCTCTCGTTTCTCAGTCGTGATGCGTCGCAGACATTTGGCCTAAAAACGCGGTGAACTTTAACACCAATCGTACGCTCGTCAACGTTATTAGATTTATTTTTATTGCATTCACTTTTTTGCATTTCGGACGCGTCCGGGCGCAATGCGCCACGCTGCCACAAAATATTTACATTTTTTATATCGAAAACTGCGCAAAAATCAACGCCAAGCATCGGAAACTTATTTTTATGTAAAAAAAATTAAATGCGAAAATTTTTCTTTTTTCTTTCATTAATTAAACGTCAGATTTCTAATTATTTTTGAGGTGGGCGAAATTTTATTGCGTAATTAATACATGAGAAGACGTCAAACGTCATTTTTTATTCTTTTTTTCGAAACGTTTGGGACATTTTTCTGCTTAGAAAGGAAGAAAATCTTTTAATAATGACAGAGGGGTAACAAGCGCCGCGAACAAGGATAAAAGGATAATGGGCATCAATATTTTAGGCAATTTGTTAGAATTAAGAAACACGGGCGCGGTCGTTGCTTTCGGCAGCGCGCTAAGTTTCTAGTACTTATGTTCGATGTTAGTGTGGCCCAGTTTTACACACACAAACAACAAAAAAAGGAAAAGTCCCACCGAAAACTTCACTTCAACACCATGGCTATTTTTTTCTGTTGTGAAACATACAAATTGACGTTGATTGCAAATAATTTATTTTGTATGAGCAAATATTAAGCCATAGTTAACCCCTTTGCTTCTCTCATCTCGATCTTAATTGCATAACACCATTGGTATTATAGTGGTAAATCGTGTAATTTGATCCCAAAATGTCGATAACACGCACAGCACGTGCTGTCACACACATGAACAAGCCATGGTATATCGTTAACCCTCGCGGGGGTGTGTGTAGTGTGGAAAACTTAATGGAACAAAACGTGCACACGCATCTTCCCCTCCATTTACGTGAGTGGACTTTGGTAGCTCGCGCGCCTTCCTAACTTGGTAACGCCACCAACACGAAACACTTTACTTCGATAATGCGTCGTGTACAAAGTTAGCCCTTT